TGTTTTTGGTGTGGAGAATATTTGCCTGCAAGTCTTAAGCCCCGCCAAAAATTAAGGGACAAATTTGTAAGTACTCATTCTAGTGCCTGTTGCCTACTTGTGTGTACACACATTGTGAGTACAGTTGTGTCCAGTTGCATCCATTTATGCTGTGGAAAATATGCCCCATTAAGCAGCTGCCTTGAATATGAGCATCAGACTACGCTACATTGACTGCCACGTAGAAACCAGTTGACTTTCACATAATTTCTATCATACTTTTAAAATGCCTAGTTTCAGGAGTGTTTTAGGATACATATAAACAGTAGGCCATTATCGTATGATAAATTTTTGCCTAGTCATATGGGTATTATTTTGTTACTTGTTTTCTTTCTGTTCAACACTAGATCCACTAGATCCAGCTTTATTTTAATGGTACCCCAGGTCGCAAACAGAGCAATATATGTAGACATCTCTTCACAGTTGAGTGATAAATCTACTTGCTGTCACTTGGTGACATATGCACTGAATTAACCGCAAAGATCTACCCATTGCCCAAAGTCATAATTCTGAATGACATCTTTCATATCTGGTGATCCTTAATCATCAGTGACTGCAACCCAAGCCGGGATTTTTAGAGCTATGCTCTGCATGTTTTTGTTTTTTTGGAGTGTGGGTGGGGCAGTACTTTGTTCTTTTCAGTATAGCTTATCTTATATTAAAGACAGTGTTAATGTATGCTGTCTTTATTAAATGAAAAAAACTCTCTCCTTAGGACCTAGTTTCAGCTTTCTATGATCAAATTACTGTGTGTGTAGGTCTAGACCAGTGATGCTCATAGTTTTGGCTCCAGAGGTCTTGCACCACCCTGGCTTGGCCACCAGGGGCCAGGATCAGGCCCCGCTTCACTTTGCATACTAGGGCTGTGCGAAACAGAAGTGTTCCATTTTGACCAGTGTTTCATCAGAACAGTGTTTCGTTTCGGCTTTTGTTTTGAGTTGAAACGGCTGTTTTGTTTCATTCCGTTGAAATGTTTTGCTGTTTCGGCCCTGTTTCACCCATAGAATATAATGGGGGAGGTTGAAACAGACTATAACTTTGTCATTTCTGGCCAAATTTGGATGAAACCTGCAGGAATGGTAGTCCCTTCTTGAAACTTGGCACACTTCATGCCCTCAGAAGATAGGTGCAGGGGAGTTCAGAGAAACTGCACCCCAAAGTCTGAGGAAAAACTCATGTCACCTGTATGTGTTAAGCCACAGCGGGGTCAAAACTGCAGGGATGGTATCTGAGGTGCAGTTTCTCTGAACCCCATGTACCTATCTCCTTGAAACTTGGCATGCTTTATTCCCTCAGAAAGGACTACCATTCCTACAAGTTCCATCCAAATCTGGCCAGAAAATGACAAAGTTATAGGCTGTTTCAACCTTCCCCATTATAGCCTATGGGCGAAACGTCAAAACAGTGTTGAACCGGCAAAAGGTTTTGACTTGCCTTGTTTTGTTTCAAGGCTGTGTCAATCATATCTGTTTCGTTTCGATTTTGCTGTTTCGACCTTGAAACAGGTCAAAACAGCATCAAAACAAAACTGGTGGCGAAATTTCGTACAGCCCTATTGCATACCCAATCTAATGTGCAGGGCCACAGCCTGTGGAGCTCCACACACATCTGTGCGGAGCACCAGGGGCCAGATCTGTCCCATGGACCAGTTGAGCACCCTGGTCTAGAGCAGTGGTTCTTAACTTTTTTAAAATCAAGGCCCATCTCCATAACTTCTATGCGTAACACTCTGCAGATGTGGGCAGAACGAACCACTTCCTTTTTTTATCTGCAGTAGTGGTGTTGCTGGACTGGGCTTTCAGGCCCCTTCCATCAGACTGAGCTGCAATGGAGTACCCGCACCTGTTGCAGCTTCTTCCTAGTACAACCCTGCATAGCATCTCCCAGAAACAGGCACAGCGAGGCAGTTTCAGGTTGCGGCAGGAGGACCTGTGCTTAAAAGAATCTTGCGACACCCTGGTTGAGAAACAGTGGCCTTGAAGGCCAGCTGTACTGGTTTAGAAGGTAATATTAATTTGGACAATGGACACAAAATTTGGGGGACGGTGGCAATGTTGTCATCTAGATCTGGGACAGAAGTGCAATAAACCAATTTAGCCTAAATCAGTTAAGTCTGATACTACATCCATCCCGGTTTATCTTACTGGTTTTGGCCATTTTTAAAGCAATTTATGTGCACTGAACTTTTGTTGTGTTACAGATTTGAACCAGTTTCTGATCACTTACACCAGTTTATGTGTAATTTCTGTCATAGTTTCATAGTTGGTAGGGTCGGAAGGGACCTGAGTAGATCTTGAAGTGTAGATCTTGAAGTCCACCCCCCTGCCATGGGCAGGAAAGAATGCTGGGGTCAAACGACCCTGGCAAGGTGTCTATCTAGCCTCCTTTTGAAGACCCCTAGGGTAGAAGCGAGCACCACTTCCCTTGCAAGTTGGTTCCAGCTCCTAGCTGCCCTGACTGTGAAGTAGTGCCTCCAGATATCTAGCCTGAATCTACTCAGTGACTTATGCCATTATTCCTAGTTACTCCAGGTAGTACTCGGGGGAGCAGGGACTCTCCCGTTCCCCATTGGTCCCCCCTGGTAAGTTTATAGATGGCCACCAGATCCCCTCTCAGCCTTCTCTTGTGGAGGCTGAACAGGTTCAAGTCCCGTAGCCTCTCTTCGCAGGGCCTGCCCTGCTTCTCCTGATCATGCAAGTGGCCCTCCTTTGGACCCTCTCAATGCTGTCCACATCCCTCCTGAAGTGCAGCGCCTAGAACTGGACGCAGTACTTCAGCTGCGGCCTGACGAGTGTCGCATAGAGGGGGAGGATCACCCCCTTGGACCTGCTCGTGATGCATCTGTGGATACATGACAAGGTGCGGTTAGCCTTCCTGACTGCGTCCCCACATTGTCGGCCCATGTTCATCTTGGAATCAATAGCGACTCCCAGATCCTTTTCTACCTCTGTGCTGATGAGAAGAGTTCCCCAGCCTGTAGGTATGCTGCTGGTTCTTTCTCCCTAGGTGCAGCACCTTGCACTTGTCAGTATTGAATCCCATCTTATTCTCATCTGCCCACCCCTGTAACCTGTCCAGATCTAGTTGTAGCCTGTCTCTCCCGTCTAGCGTGCCCACCTCTCCCCACATCTTAGTGTCATGTGCGAACTTGAACAAGGTGCTTTTCACCCCCTTGTCCAAGTTGCTGGTGAAGATGTTAAACAGTGTGGGCCCGAGGACCGAGCCCTGGGGGACCCCACTGCCCATGTCCCTCCAGGTCGAAAATGACCAGTCCACCACCACTGTCTGGGTGCAGCCCTCTAGCCAATTTGTGACCCATCTGACTGTCTAGGCATCAATGCTATAGTCACCTAATCTTTTATTGAGAATAGGGTGAGAGACGGTGTTGAAGGCCTTCCTAAAGTCCAGAAAGACTACATCCACCACGACACCTGCATCCAAGGATTTTGTGACCTGGTCGTAGAAGGCAACCCTAGCCCTATAGTTGAAATCCTGCTACAGGCTATTGTTAAATTAAGGGCAATGCTGTTATGTAATAATGCTATGTAGGATGGTATTGAAAAAGGATGAAATAACCATAGCCCAAGCCATTTTTTTTCAGTAAGACACTCATAGTGGGTGACCCTCCATACCTTGGAGGAAAAACATCTTAATGATTGCCTTATCTCCATCTTATTTTCTTAACACAGCTTTAATATTGCACCTAAGGCACCATTTTGCAGATACTGCCCATTTAGGTAAAGCAGACTGGCAAAAGGTCTCTTTTAAAACTAAGTAACAAACATGCTTCTAAATAAGCCCATGGAAATGTCGAACGATACAAAACACACAGTTACCTCTCTTGGAGGGTGAACCAGATTTAATTAAAGGGACAATTGAACTTTCACCAAGTGACAGCAATATATACCTATTAAAATGAGAGGCCTTGTGGTCCGACTGATTGAGCACCAGACTGGGAATTCCTGAATCTTTAATCTGGTTCTGCTCTTGACTTACCGTGTGGGCTTGGAGAGGCTATGTGGCCTCTCTGTCTGCTTTCTGAAATGCAAAATATGGATAGTAATAGCAGGAGATTGTGGCGGGAGGGCCTAATTCATTTATTAATGTTTCTGAAGCGCTTTGTAAATATAAAAAAATTTGATTAGTTATCAATGATACAATTATTTAATTGATTATTAAAACTGTCTCAGGAGCTATTGGAACAGCTATCTTGGCCAACATTTATTGTCTTTAACAGGTTTCCCAGGCTCCTTCGTGTTTCTTAAGTGATTTATCCTTTCCTTTGTCCACTTTTCCTCTGTTTACGGACTAGTTCGTTTCTTCACATAATCATCTTGACAGCTTGACCCATTGTTTTTTACCTCTTTGTGCTCCCTGGTCACCATTCGTGTTCAGGATTGCTTCTTTCCCCTTGAATCAGAGTTGTGTAGATGGTAGCCATCTGTATTACATACCTAGATACAAATCTTTCATGTTCCTTTGTGAGCACTGTCATTGCCTCATGGACTAGTTCGGTAATAGACTATAATGACTGAATGAGTAAAAACTGACAGCTCAACAGAGGATAATTCTAAGTAGCTGAAATTGATGGAGCAATGGTGGACAAGTCCTGAAGGAGGGGTAAATGGAAAACTCTGGGAACTTTTAGCCCCTTTCCATATCATGGAAATGTTTTTTAAAAGTTCACTGAGGCATGGCAAAAGGTAAAGAGAGAGCAGATTGTTTATCTTTTTCTGGGCACAGGCTATGGTAAAATAGAAGTTGGGTCATAGTAAATCTTGTGATTCTCCCTGGTCAGTTTCCATGGGTATCCATTTCTGTCTTACCACTTTATGTTCTTTGGGCTGAATGTCTCTTTTTCCCATTTTTGAGTGCTTAATTGCCTTGTTAGATCATTGTCTAGCCTGCTTTGCTTTTCCTCATTTCCTAACCATCCCCTTTTTATCCTGTCTCATGCTTAGCAATAGCCAAGATGAAACAAGGAACAATTGGGAGAAGGTTGTTATTTCTGTTACTCTACTTCCAAGGAAAAAAATGGGTCGTATAAGAGTGAGTGTTAATTTTCTTTAATCCTCAATCTAGTAAGAAATGGTATTGGTGGTATTCAGGTATTATGAGGAAACTGGTTTGTGTTGGTGTTGCGAGAAAGAAAGAAAGGCAGAGATAACAGAACTTGGAGCACTGTAAAAAGGAAGATTAATCATCCCTGTCTCCTGAGGGAGGTAGTTTTACTTAATAAATGGTGTTAGTCCCAGGGCAGAACTTGAAGAGTTTTTATTGACGTTAGCAAAGTTCATGAATTGCTCTCAAGAATCCCTTTCTAAAGGTAACAACTTAGTAGATTTTATTGATTTTTGCACTTACAGAGATGACCAAAGGGTGGCTCCCAACACCCACTGTAAATTTTAACAGCAAGAACAAAAGCCCTAAGGTGGCAAGAGATATTAACATTCTCTACAGACTGAATGTTTTTTGTCTCTTACATAGGTACCTGTGCAATTCTTGCTACCTTTCCAAAAAAGGAGAGAGAAGATTGAAAAAGAACCTTGGCCTTTGTGAGCCGAGGTGGATTGTTCTTTTGTGTCTTTAAAATTTGTATCCTAATTGCATATGATATGTGTGTTTTGCTTTTTCTAGTAGACTTAGCACTACCAATAAGACAGTGTTAAATATGCTATCAGAATTACAAACTTTTCTTTGTACACTTTAATTTGCTTATAGCAGTCAGGAGTACAGACACACTTTCTTGCATGTGAACTCTGCCTGTGAGAAAAATTGAAGTCACTGCAACTCCTGCGTTCCTTTCTCTTGTTGCAGACAGACCAGGCACTATGTTGTTCTGAAAGGGCTAATTCTGCAAGGTGGTGAGCACCTATAACTTCCATATGCTTCACTGGGAGAAATGATGCTTTGTTTTTTATACAGCATTGAAGCCCTAAATACTTCCCATTTGCCAATGCTCTTAAACTTCTCCAAGGTGCAGTAGTGTACGGACGTGTAATCTGTCCTATATTTTCTATTTCAGTCCTGTTCTGTGACTTTTTGTTTTAATCTCTTGTTGACTTTCTGCTGACTGACATTTTATGATATTTTTTTAAATGCTTGTGCCCAGTGATGATAGACATGTTCTAGAAAGCAGTATTTTTTCAATAAATAAAGTGGACTATTCTCCACCAGTATTAGAACTTGAAGGGAGCTTGTACACTAATCATAGATCCTTTCTACCCACCTGTGCTTCTGACTGATCACAGTTAACCACCGACCATGTAACAACTTTTGATCACACTGAACAGGTTGGTGAGATCCTGCTGTGGTACTTCAGCTCCCATCATCATAATGCTCAAGGGTTGGGCACTTTTCTCCCTTCACTTCCCAAATCCCTGCCAATGTCAGGTTTTCAATGCAAGGTTTATCCTCCTGGCACCTGCCTGCTTCCTTTCACACAGTATTTATTTCAGTTGTCAGCTCTTGTGCTAGTCAAGTGAAAAAGCATTATTGCAGAGATCTGATAGGGTCTCAGTGGCTTAAGTTGAAATGAGCTTACCATTATAGTGTGGATCTTTCCCTTTCCTTTTCATTCTCTATCAGCTATCTCTCCCAGCTTCTACAAAGTTATAATTTGCATGTCATGTCTTAGTCCCAAATCACAATTTATCTGGGGGCTTCAGTAAAATTTAGAGAAATTGAGTTTTAAAATGTTCTTATTAAAAATGACCAACAACTTTTCTACCTTTTAAATCTTCACATTTTTAAAATGATGAGGATGTTGAATTGCACGTTGGCTTTATTTGCTTGGTCATAAAGTGTCATTGAGAGCTGAGTCCTGCCACCTTTACTGAGGTTGAGGTAATCCTTACTCCAGGTGTAGCTATACTGAAGTCAATACATGCGATACTACTCTGTGTCAAGGTAACTGTATCAGTTCCGTAGCATTTGGATGGGTGAGGAGCTGTTGGGGGAAGATGAAGTGTAAAGAGTCACATTACTTAATGTGCTTTGGCACTGCAATCATTTCAAAATCTTTGCTGCACGTTTCAACGGCAGAAAGGTAACAGCTGAAATGTAAATTAGGGGGAGGAGTTGAGGGGATCTCACTTTCTAGGCAGCTGTTCCTTTTTAATAATGTCTTTTGCTTAAGAATATTAAGTTCATGTTTCATGATGTGTGATACTGTGTTGCAGTTCCAGTAGGCATGGAGGGAAATTCTGTCCTGCACAGGTAGGGCTTTGACTGACTGCATTTACTCTACAGGCCAGAGCTGCGTCACAGATGAGAGTGTGTATTTTGTGGTTGTAAATTCAGTCTATGATAACCACTGTGAAGCCCACAGAACCTAGGTTTTGGGAGGTAGGGGGTCAGAAGGGAGTCAGAAAACAGATGCTAAACCACAGCAATTCTCCATCCTGTAGGCATAAACTGCATTCAAATGCAGCCACAGAATCTGGTATACAAATCCCTGCAATTCATGGATTGACATTAGTTTCTTTAATGTTATATGTATAAGTATTGCCTTCCAATGGCATGTGCATCTATGATGAATGAGATAGGAGGAAGAGCTGCAAAAACCCTGTTGTATCCATGATGACAAAAACGCTAAGGTATGTCAGGAGATTTTTTGGATTGGATTCATACTTTACAAGTTCTGATATTCATAGGACCTGACCCAGAGCTCTTTGATATCAATGAAAAGGCTACCACTGTCTTCCATCAGCTATGAATATTGCCCATACTACAGTGAATTTAGAATCTAAAGCAATGCCTTCAGGGGAGGCACAGACCCTAAAGTCTTTTGTTGCCATGTTGTTTTTGTAGTTTCTCTGTGTTAAAATTTCAAGCAAAAATGTCCCAGTCTGGCCCACTGCCACAACCATGGCTTCTCCCCACTGCCTAGCCGCAGTTCAGGATAACCTCACCACCGCCCAGCTGCTCTGAAGTGTTCACAAAGCCTCCTCACCACCCAGCCGTGCCCTGTGCAAAAGCCCCCAGCTCCATGGACCAGATTCAGTGGCTCTGTGAGCTACACTTTGCTGACCGCTGACATAAAAAATACTTAACCTTGTTTATGCCATAACTAGGCTAATAGGTGGCGGGGTGGGGTTTCAGTTTTGCTCTTGAATTAAAACATTGAAAAAGTTTCTGTCCTGCCTGAATGAATAGCTATTCAATAGCTATTACATGAAAAGTGGAACAGCTTTAACTCACTGAGAGCTCCCCACTCCAGAATACTTGTAGCTGGATGGCCAGGACAAATTCCAACTTGTGGGTTCAGATCTTCTTAGGCAGAGGAGGGAACTAATTATGGGTCTCCCAGGCCTTGGAGGGGAATGGAGTGGGGTAGCATGGCCACCAATACCACCTCTAGGTCATCCTCAGTTTCGTGCACCTATCCGTGATTTTTTTTTTTTCAAGCCAAAGATGTTTGGACAAACAAAACAGCAGCCTTGAGCAAGCAAACTATTTTTGTGTTTTGAGAAATAAAGTAAAAACCTAGGCAGAAGGGTAGCAAATTAGCATTTTATAGCTTAAGTTTCCTACATTGTATTTCTTTTAATATTTTTTCTGAATCTCTCCCCTGTCTGAATCTAAACCACTCAAATTAATAAATTCTTGATAATGCTTCGTTCTCTCTGCTATTTTTAATGAAGTCCATGAAATAAAAGTCTCTCTCTCTCTCTGTCTCAGCCCAGTATATTCCCATGTGCCCGTGAGAATTGGGATATCAGCTTTATTGGCCTCTTGATTTCAAGACTACTTGTAAAATATGATTAGGAGTTTGAAAAGTATGTAGTTTGACCAGCTTAGCTGCACACAATGGGGAGCCCTCCTTCTTCCCCATTTCACCCTCCCTCCACGCACAGGGTACAGTGTGGTCATGCCTCTTTTCCATCATAATCTTTTAACTCATCTGTCCACTCTCCAGCACCTTCCAGTTGAAGTGATCTACAGCACCAGTTAGGTGACACAAAAGATTCAAAAACTTGGCAGGCTTCTCGTTGCTCTTGAGAAGAGTTCTGAAAAAGCTAACTCCTCTATCTCAAGCCTAAGTTACGTTGGCAGTCAGACAAGATATATATCTTTTCTCTGGCCCATCTCTCCATGGGATGGCTTTGATAGGGAACTGTCCCTAGCCAGCCACCAGCTGAGCATACCTCCTCCCTTCAAGCACTTCCCTTAAGCTTGACACTTGTGTTGGGTATCATGGAATAGGGTGGCTTAGCAGCCCATTATCTCTGCCCTAAATTGTATGTATTTTATAATAGGAGATTTCACTTTAGCTTCAGTAGAAGCAGAGGTAAGAACTGAGTGCTTCAAAAATTCACCCCGTACATAAGCCATTAGCACAATGGTAGTAGCATTTGCAATTTACAGTTATACCCAGGATCAAAGGTAGGTCATAATTATGACTCATAACTATGAGTTACCGTTGATCGTTGGTATAACTGTAAATTGTATCCGACTGGTAGGTTTCGTGGCAATGTAGTATGGCTACTCATGGCATGTTAGCGCCAATAAAATACACTATGTTGCAAACTCCACAGTTAGGAGACTCTAAGGCTCCTCAAAACCCTACCATCCACTGCCTTGTGAGTACTCCTTAGTTGGAGAGAGGCTAAGGGACATCACCCTGACAGAAACATGCTGCCACTGAGCCATTAGGCAGGCAGCAGCAGTTTTAATCTGTTCCTCTCTGGCAAAAGCTACAACCACCAAGGTACTGAACATTTGGACTTGGTCTGGCCTTTGGACTCTGTCTTGATTGTCTAAAGCGGGGGATGGTAGGTCTAGGGCAGCCTCTACTCCTTCATACTCTTGCCTAAGTGTACATGCTGAAGGTCTTGGTGTGATGGTCACACAGACTTAGCGCATACACCATGATCCAGAGGACCGATGGTTGCCAAGAAGTAGCATTTGGGCTTGGGGAAAGGAGTAGCTTTATTTCTAGGAGAAAGTACTACACACTTTCTGTCTCAAAAAAATAATCTGGGAGCAATATAAGAAGCTATATTTAGGTCGATAAGCAATTGTACAAGGCATTGCGTCAGTCACAAAATGTATAGATTCTTGCGTGGTAGAATGTGGGGTAAAATATGCATATGTAGCCTTAAAAATGGGGGCCACAGTTCTCCAATTGGATTTGGAGTGCCTTAGTTTTGGGGTACCCAATTGTGCAAAGGCTATGTGCTCAGTACTTCTGAAAGTTACAGCCTTTGAAGGTCTCACTCACTAAGTGAGCACATAAAAACAGGCTCCAAAATGTGTTGTTTTCGGTAGGTAGGCTTCTCCCCAAAACATTACCTCATGGGAAGTACTGAGGCAGAAACCTCCTGAAATGTCAAAGTACAGTTTTACCATGTGTGGACTTCACAGATTTTATATAATATATCTTAGATAAGGGTTTAAAAAATGTCTTGTGTAATTCCCATTACACACTCTTGAATGGGTAACAGTAAATATATTATCTGACATAGGGAAATCTCCCAAAATTGATTTAGTTAAGTATTAAGTGGAACAATAAAGAGTGACGGCAGAACATGTGCAACAGGGAAATGCAGACAGAGAAATAGAAATAGCTGGAAATGAAGAGATCTTATCTATGCAAAAAAGCAAACAACCTTTGTTTCAGCTGGCTATTTTCAAATTTCTCTTAACATCAATTTCTTTATCCATCCTGCTGTATCTTTATGAGCTATGAGGGTCTACTTTATTAAATTGTGAGGTTTTTTTTCTCTTTCCAACTTCCTTGAGCATTCTGGGGGAAGCCACTGGCATTTTTTCTCTTGCTGGTGGTAATTTTTGGAATAAAAAATGCAGGGTCAGAGCCCTGTGTTCTTTCCATTTTCCACTTCCCTGTCTTACAGAAAGCCATTCTGTGGGCATTAAGACTTTAGAACACTTCATCACATTTCCTGGCATTATTTCCTTTAAACTGCTACCTGGAAGTGCAACCTACACCTGTGTTGGAAGGAACAATCTATATTCTTTTGACCAAAATCTTCAGTTTTTATTGACCACCCTACACATTAGTCATCCTGTCCAGAGCATGCAGTTGTCCTTCTGTATTGATGCTTGCATACCTAGATCCTTGCATGGGAAAAATAAAATTGTAGTTACACAATTGTGGAATTCCCTGTTTTCAGCTACTGGGATTTCAAGAAAACCTGCATGTTGTTAAAAAAACAAACAAACCCCAAAATGCAAGAACTAAGGGTGCTGACAAAAGTGATGCTTTGTTGTGTGATCAGCCACTGAAAGCACTCTACAGTCATGCACTGACAGAAGTGCACAGCTGCAGAGCACTTTTAAAAGTGCCCGGCCGTGCAACAGATTAACTCCTGTTACAGGAGGGTTCAGATAAAGGTGCTCCAAAGTGGAGGACCTTCATTAACATCTGTCAGTGTGTGTTGGGAGCAGGGCTGGGCTGATATATCCCATCCC